TGGGAGGGTTCTTCCAACAGATCAGCCATATTTCATGCTGCCTTGTATCTCCTCTGGGCTAGTCTTCATGTCTACTTTTATATTTCTCATACATAACATTTCCACTTGGTTCTTTTTTAAGACTTCTTGTTACAGCAAAATATTATTAAAATCTCCTCTCTTTTAGAGTATATTTATCATGTTATTCAAAAATTTTGGTCCACATGTTCCAATAATTTTGCTTCAAATAATGTATCGTGCTCAGTGTTGTATTTCTTTCACAGTATCCTCTGGGGTCTGGTTGATTGGCCTGTGTGTTCATGCTACCCTGGGGTCTGGGAATGTGTGTTAACAAGGGCTAAAGACACCTGGTTGGTGTCTCTCTTGAGAGTTTAAGGAGAGGGGAAGGAGGGAGCCCCAGGATGGAGAATCACAATGGATAACCCCCATTTGCTAATACTTGGCAACTTTGTCCAAAGTTCAATTTAAACAACCAGAAAGAACAGCACTGGAATGAAGAGAGTGGCCTCAGTTTTTAATCCACCACTCCTGGGTATAACGGAAGGGAGGACAGGGAAGAGCAGATGCCCTGGGACAGCTGGTCAGCTTGTCCCCGTTTTCATCAACTGCCCACCACCCTGGAGCCGGGCCCTTGATCTGTCCTGACGTTGTCCCACAGACACCAGCAGCCTGGACTCAGGTGAAGCGGGAGGCCGTGGCAGCCTCAAGGCAAATATGCCGGAGAGGCAGGCACAGAGTGTAATTCAGTCTCCTGCTGGCTGGGCCCGCTGCCCGGGGCCACAGGGCCCTCTCGCCTCTCTGTACACCTGCTGTTCCAGGTCCTCAGAGTTGTGTGTAGGGGAGAGGTCCTCAGATGCAGGCTTCCCTCTTGCTTCGGTAGTTTCTCCAGGCTGGATTGCTGGATTTGGAGGATGGTCACCTTGCCAGCTCACCACCCTGAAGATGACATGGGATCCTTGTACACTTATTCCCCCCACACACGTCTTCCCAACACACACACACACACACACACACACACACACACACACACACACACTCCACTGTTCTGCAGCCTCTAGCTGCCTGTCACCGAGTGCAATACCAACCCAGCACACTCCTGAGTGTCAGCTGAGAGAATGGATAAACCAAGGTCATTTCCCAGGTGTAGCCCGCTCAGGCTTCAGACCTGCCTGAGGACCAGTCCTGTTAGGATGAGCTGCCTTGCGTAGGGGGTGGGGGAATAGGCAAACTCTAGTTAATATTTTAATTGCCTGAAATATGACTTCATAAACTACAATAAGAATTTGCCTTTAATATTTTTGCAATTAAAAATGCAACCCAAATATACTCTCCTCTTGAAAGCAGACTACATGAGAAGCCAGATTACAATCAGAAGGTTGCCTGGCGATCCTACAGGCAAAGGCATGGCTTTTTCTTCCTCCTGTATTACACAAGCCACCCGGCCCACTCGTGCCTCTTTTGTTTTGCAATGCAGACTACTAACAAGAAAGGTGACTTTTTAAAAGTAATGTTGAATCACATTCCAAGAGAAATTAATACACTTTGGCCTTCATTGGAGAGCTGGTGCTGTATCAGCTTCATTTTCTATGAACAACAGAACAGACTCCAACACTTCATATACCATTTGGGAGTTCATAACTATGATTTTTATTTCTATAGCTCTCAGGATTCTTACACAAGCCCCCCCAAATACATAGAATCTTCCTAGGAAAAGGTATGGCCATTGGATGGGCGCTGCCACCCTAACTAACCCGAAGGAAAACTAACCTTCGGGTTAGTTTTATTTTGAAAGCCTTGTTTAGGATAAAGCTAAATGAACCATCCCTCAAACGAGTATAGCACATGGACACTGAAACTCTGGCGAGAAGCAAATAAAAGCTGTTGAACCGTAAGTTTCAATAAGGAATAGCATGAATGTCTGACCACAAGCTCTCATGAGTGGACTTAGATGTTCAAACCCTCTCAGGTACCGTTACCTCTGGTTTATTTATGAGTGTTTTGTTTGGTGAATGTGCGTAACCAGCAGGAAATTGGCATTTGTTTTAGACCAGTGCTGTGCTAGGCACATTCACATACGTGATCAAACAGCAGGGCTGGAAGAAATACACTGAGTGCACACATCTCTATGCTCCGAGGACCCACTTGTACAATTAGAACATTCAGCCTTCCCCAGAGTTGCCCTCCCCGGGGGTGGTTTTATGTATTCACAGCTTTGTTCTAATCCTCCTCGCTTCCTCGAGTCTGCAACAACTGGCTCTTCCTTCCTTCTTCCCTCCTGCCCCCCCTCTTTCCTTCCTTCTTATTTTAAGTTGAGGAGAGTTCAATGGAGGGACTCCTCCCAAAGGTTGGCAGGGTTAAGGAAAGCAACAAGTGAAGGGTTAAGATGAAGCCCCAAGACTAGCAACAGCTGAAAGCTGCTCCCTCCCAGGCCAACAGAAGCCAAGGGATGGGCCTTTATGCAACCAGAGAGAAGACGGAACAGCCGGTCTTGTTGTCAATTAAACTGGAAATCACTGCCACTCCCCGGGTAGTATGACAGTTCAGCCCTTTGCCATGTTGTAGGAAAAAATTTGTTTTAATAAAAAACTATGCATTTCTGGACACCCCTCCAGGCCACCTGATTCTAGGCTTTCCCTGTCTTTGAGCTATGTTGCAACTCTGTATAAATGTGTCAGTTCAGTTGCATCCAGGCCTCAAATTCAAATGGATTCTACTAGGACAGGGTGAATCCCAGTTCTGCTCACCAGTGACACATCAGCCCACGGCCTCGCCCAGGCAAAATATCCTTTGCCCATTTTACAGATGAGGAAACTAAAGTTCAGAGAAGTTCAGTGCCTTGGCCAAGATGACACAACTGGCACGTGGCATATTCAAATCCAGAAGGATCAGCCCCAAGCCAGTACTCTCTCTACTCGCCAACGCTGCATACCCTTGTCCACCGAGGTGACAAGGAGAGAGAGTCTCCCTAGGGAATCCGGGTGCAATGTGAAGCAGTGTATTCAATTCCTTTTTCTTTGGCATCCTCTAAGAGAACTTGAGAAACTATAAAAGCCTCATATATTTTTAAGCTGACATTTAAAATTTTTCACCATGAATTTAAATAGTCACAAAGGAGATGATTTCTGGCATATTTTAAACAATTTTTTTTTAAGTTACATCACTATTTTAAATGTATCCAATGGATTCTAATTACCATGACTTAACCCCCTCATCATCCAAAAATACATGCTCAGAAATTTTCCATCTTTCCCTTTCCTTCATATTTCCATTTCACCTCTGCTACGGAAGCCAGCCCTGGTGGTCTAGTGGTTAAGATTTCGGTTCATTTCCCGGTCAGAGAACCATACCTGCTGTCTACTGGTTGTCATACTGTGGTGGCTGCGAGTTGCTACGATGTTGAAAGCTGTGCCACCGCTATTTCAAATACCTGTAGAGTCACCCATGTTGGACAGGTTTCAGCGGAGCTTCCAGACCAAGAGAAGACTAGGAAAAAGGACCTGACCACACACTTCTGAAAAAATTGGCCATCAAAACCCTATGAATAGCAGCGGAGTATTGTCTGATATAGCCGGAAGGTGAGAGGATGGCGCAAAAAGACAGGCAGGGTTCCTCTCTGCTGTACACGGGGTCACTAGGAGATGGAATGGACTTGACAGCACTAACATGAAAAAGGAAATTATATCCTCTTATGTTTTAATTCTTATGTTGAGCATCCTATTATATTTCTCTATACCAAAAAATACGTGATTACACATTGAAATTTTAAAATTTCTTTCATGTTCTGTAACTGTAAAGCTCTAAGTGTTAAAAAGCATTTCTTCTGGACTGGGTAATTATTACATTGATATTAGCACATAGTTGGTCAAAATATAAACATTTGATAAATATTAAACATGAAAAGTAAATTTTATTGCAAATATCATCTCCTCATTAGATGAATGGGGCAGGGCTTTTTCCCCCCAATCAGACCACATATTTATGGATGAATGATTACACAGTCATATAAATAAAATAGGGACCACCAGCAATTCTATTTTTTTTTAAGGTTGTAAGCACCAAAGGACCTTGTTCCCATAAGAAAGTGGAAGATGCAAGGAGTTTTAGTAGAGCCACGTCCTCATTTCTCTGAACTCCTTCTCAGTGCTGTGCAGCACTCAGGCCAGGCTGGCAATCCCCTCAGAGGGTGGGAGAGAAGGTGATGGTGAAAGGCAGTCAGGGAGCTTCTAGAGGTAACAATCACATTCTGCTCCTTAATCCAAGAGGTGCTACACACAGATGTGTTGTATTGTTCTTCACTACACTCCAGAAATATTTCATAAATAATCTTTTATATATACTCAGTACTTAATTTTAAAGCAAGAGAGAAGAAATAGCATCAAAAACAGATAAGCAGGTAAGCAGTATTTATCTTTCAATCAAGCTAAGTAAGGCTTATGGAGTTTCTTTCTAATGGGATTATTTATTTTGCTCCCTGGCCTACAATGCATTATTAACACTTGCCAGACAGCTGGGGATTTCAGATTTCTTGGTAGGGTTTACTTAAGGCAGATATCACATCTTCCCTTAAGACTCACTACACAGACACTTGATCAGCATGCCTTAATCTCTCACTAATGGGCAAGGCTAGTCATACAGTAACTAACACATATTAAGACATTACTATGTATCAGGCATTATTCTAAACACTAGGAATACAGCAGCAAACAAAGTCCCTGCCTTCATGGAGTTTACATCTTAACGGGGTAAGAAAGACAATAAACAGACAACTAAACATATCTGTGAATGGTGATAAGTGACACTGAGTGAAGTAAAACAGGAACAGAGAGGCAAGGAGGGCTGAGGGCAGGTGAGATGGTGCCATCTTGAATAGAGTGGTTAGTGGAGACCTCACTGATGACGTGACATTTGATCAGGAGGAAGTGATGGAGCAGATATCAGGGAGACAGTGTTTCAGTAGAGGAAACTAGATATGCAAAGGCCCTGAGGCAGAAGCATGGCCTGGTGTGTGATAGGAACAGCAAGGAGACCAGTAGGACTCGGGTTGAGTGAGGGGGAGTGGGGCAGGAGATGACAGGGGCAAGAGGCAGGTGCACCAGATGACACAGGACTTTATCATCCACAGTGAGGACTTAGCCATGAACTGAATGACATGCAGAGCCACAGGAAGGTTTTGACCAGGAGTCACGCGGTCTGACTTAAGTTTTAAAGAGACTTCTGTGGCTGCTGTGTAAATGGCACTCAGGACAGCCACTCGTTATTGCTCGGTCTCTTCATGTTCTGTTTTCAACCCCCATATTTGGATTAAATGATGATTCGGTTGTTGACAGTGATCTCTGGAATCTGAGACCACAAGATAACTACTCCCTGTTGGACTGCTTTCATTCAGCTGAGAGGAGAGTAACTTCTTCCCCACCACAAGTGTCTACACCCAGCAGCTTGTAGACATCCCAGGGCACCACGTGCTCTACTGCACTCTAATTAGTTATATACATACCAGTGCTCCTGTTATCAGAGGTTCGGGGATTCGATCGGAGACGTAAAAGACACTTTCCACTCCAAACAAATGGGCTGAAGGTATATTTTATTATATAGAGGATAGTAAAGGTGACAGTCTGCAAACAGATCAAATAGGTCAAATATTAAGAGGAAAAAACATCAGCCCGACTGGAAAGGGAAAACATTCACATCGGCTGAAGAGAAATGACACAAATCAACCGGAAAGAGAAACACCAGGTTAACCGAAAAGAGAACACATCAAATCAATTACTTCATATCAAATCAGTTATTCATAACATTTATGTCTCATTGCCGGGAGAGCCCTGTCAATTGACGCGGCTGGGCAAGGATCATATGTCCTGGGCAAGGTGTCCCTTCCACAGGTGGAACTCTCATTCGGTCTCAGTTTCCAGCAGTTTTTATATCATCAGTAATTTTCAGAGTAAGCAATTACAGAGTTTGCAGAGCAAGCATTTAGTGTTCCCATGCACAAATGGTTATCTGTGGCGTACGTGCATTGAGCCCCTTGGTTAATGTCCCAGCCCAGTAGTTGCGTACGTGCATTGTTCTCTTTGGTTATTGTCCCAGCCCGGCATAGATGGCCAGTCCATCCCGTGCTACGACGCTCCAAGAGCCTTGAAATGTTACAACTTGTAACTCCCTCCGTGAGAGAAGGGCCAGTTCCCACCATGCAGAAAGCAGCCTTGTATTTCTTTTTTGTGCTGGTGGCTGTAGGTCAATGGAGCGGCCAAACATGGCTGTACTCATGTCAAGACATATTCGGCCGTGGCCGTCTCCATTAACCATAAGACACCATACGCACAGACAATGAACTTCGTACGCAAGTACATAAGGCACATCCAAGAATCCAAAATCCAATGACTACAATAATTATAAAACTATCTCGCAATAAAGGACCTAAACCCCAAGGTAACCAATTAAATAACCCCTTAGAATATGAAATGTTATTAACTTGATCTTGCAAATCATGTATAGCATCAAAGATAACATTAGATAAGATAACACTTAGGCCTAACAAATTAGCTTGCAGAAGTTCAGACCAGCCCCCATCACAGAGGGTAGCAGAAGGCAGGGTAATAGAGAAATTATAATCAGTTCTTTGTGACTGGTCAGATATAGGCTTATACTGAGAGATTGTTTGATGTTTCTGAGACCAAATTTTTCAGCCATTCATAGTCCAGGTCATAGGTCCCACTGGTGTAGAGCAGTTGGTCCAGCAGTGCAGGGTCAAAGGTTGTCCTACGGAGACATTAGTTGGCATGTAGGTCTGCAGCAGACATGGAAGTGCAGCATAGCATAGCAAATATAGCAGGAATATCTATTCACGCAAAGAAACAGAATTTTTAGGAACATGATATAATTGTTCATTTCCTGGATACATTATTATGAGCGTTGCAGTGGGCCCTTGGGCCACTACTTCTGCGGCACGTGGAGCCGCATTGGGTGGATGTGTCACCCACACCTTTGCTCCAGGTTTCCATCCATCTGTAGACCCAAATCCTTGCATTCCTCTTTTAGTTAATTCACTTGGAGGTTGTCCTTGTGACACATTTGGAGTCAGGAGGGGAAGCATCAATAATTGTCCCATTTGTTCCCCAGACTCTACAGTTAGTATTGTGTCACTACCATTATATAATATAAATTTTATTTCTCCTTGATAATTTGGATTAATAACTCCTCCTAGTACATCAATACCTTTTGTTGCCAGTCCAGAGCGTCCTTTTAACAAACCAAAGGTATTTTTGGGAAATTGTACCCCTATCCCAGTAGGGACTATAGACTGCTTCTTAGGGGGCAATTGAATAGAATGAACAGTAGATAAATCCAATTCAGCCGTTTCGGCCGTGGCACGAAAAGGCGGTTTAGCAGACTGAGTCAGGGGCCAATAAGTTAAGGTCATAAACTCATGGGTGGTGGCTGCCACTTCTGTAATCTTTGTTGGTAACAACCTTGACAGAGGAGTCTCATTAGGGCCTAGTGGCCTGTTATTTAACACATTTAGAGCAGTACTTAGATGGTTGTGCCACCCTTTTAATGAGCCATGACCAAGTTTCTTCAATTGTTGTTTAAGCAATCCATTCATTCGTTCTATGAGGCCTGCAGCTTGGGGGTAATAAGGTATATGATAAATCCATTCTATATAATTTTCCTTGGTATAGGTTTGAATCAACTTACCTGTAAAGTGGGAACCGTTGTCACTCTGAATTTGCCTTGGTGTTCCATAATATAACTTGATTATATCTAATAATTTTATGGCA